GGTGGGATAAGCTGCTTAAGAATGTTCATGAATAACAACAAAGTTCAAATAGAGAGTATTTTATCCTTTAAGAGTTGTAACATAGGAAGAAGTCGGGCTGTGTGGAGAATGCCAGCGTTGGGAGGTAGAGGTATAACTCAGCTTTGTGAATTGGAGATCACCATGGTCCTCAGAGTGAGTTCCAGAACAGCTAAGGCTATGCAGAGAAACTCTGACTCAAAAAACAAAAGATAAACAAACAAAAGAGTAATAAGAAATCAAATGGTATTATATACTAATTTTAATAGTGGAAATTAATTTTGAATTAGGAAAAAGTAAAGATTACATACAATCCTGTTTTAAACCAGGGCAGTCCTGTCTTGATGTATTGCTGTCCACATAATCCCTATACTCTAGAGGCTTTTTTTTTTTAAGGTAAGAATACTTTGCCCAGTGATTTTATCAGTGGGGTAATGTAATTCCCTCAACTAGAAGGGAAAAAATGAGCCTATCATTTTTTCATATATTCAATCCATAATTGTCATCATTAAAAATTGTATGTCCTTGGTTATTTGGCCTCTTCCAGACATACAGGTGTAGAAATATGTGAGAAGCCGGGCAGAGGAACACAGATTGTCACTGAAGCAGCACCCTACACCGTGCTGTACAGAGGGAGGGGAAGGTTTGTATATGTGGAGGGTGGCAGGAAGGGAGTCATGCTAACCGTGACACCTAAATAATCCCTGACTGATTGGCAGAATTTCAGTGGCTCTCCCACGTTTTAGCAGGAGTCGGCAGGGTGAGTGAGCATTAGACACGCTCTGCTTGTGGTTCCAAGTCACCGAATCTGATTCTGATTGAGGGAACAGGTAGGAGTAGATTGGGGTGGTAGAGTTTACTCCCTTGAATTCCAGGGGAAAGGATTTAAATCTGCAGGAAACAAGAAACCTCACGTTCTCATCACAAGAGACATGTGCTCTCACCCTTTGTTGGTGTTGTTGGCAAGCATTTATTGGTGACATGATGAGTTTACAACTTCACAAATTGAGAAGTCCAATGCCCGCCCCAGAAGTAAGATTGTGCAATGATTTGGAAGTGTAGTTATTCAGATCGGCAAAAAGATGATGGTATTTCATCTACTATAATTTTAAGAACTTCACAAGAGAAGATGGTCTTCTCTGATGTGTCTTCATCTCTTAGATCTCCTTTGCCTGTGATGCTTTGCATGTTCTCTTAATGTTGTAATTAAACATGTGAGTGTGTGTTCTTACCAAATGGCAAACACCAAGGAGCAGGGCTACATTAAACCTGCTTCTGGATTTACAATCCATTTGAAATATATGTTAAATGATCTGATGGCTTGATAGATAACCCATTTCCTAATGAATTCACTAGATCCAGTTTAAATGAACCAAGTTACATATGAATTTATATCCAAAATGCTCTTAATTGATTTTTTTTTTTGAGACAGTGTTTCTCTATAGTTTTGGAGCTTGCCCTGGATCTAGCTCTTGTAGACCAGGCTGGCCTCGAACTCACAGAGATCCGCCTGCCCCTGGCTCCCGAGTGCTGGGATTAAAGGCGTGCGCTACCACCGCCCGGCTTATTTGATTTTTTTGAAAAGTACTGACAAGGCCAGTTTCTTGATTCCCATAAGACCACAGCTTTATCAACATGCCTGAGCAGAACAACACACACTGTTGTGCTTTTTTATTATAGCAGAGTTGCATGTGCACTGTAGAAACTTTATATGCTACAGATAAGCAAAAGAAGGAAAATCCCTATAATCCTACCCTCAAAATAGCCAGAGTTACTGTTTTATAGGAATTTACAATGCAATTGACACCTGCCCCACCCTGCTTTATTATTTTTTTCATTTGAAATGCATGTGGCTAAGTTGTCCTTTAGCAAGACTGAGCTATTCTATACTTCTCGAGTTGTGGAGCATGCTCTTTGCTTCTACCAACATCACTCACAATTACCAATATTTAATCCTGGCAAAATAGGTGAAAGAAAGAATTTTAAAAAATGAATGTGTATTTCTTCTAAAGCTAACGAGGTTAAATATTTCATCATGAGTTTATGGCATATATATATTTCTGGGTAATTTGTCTCTTGGGGATTTCCCCCCCTGGTGACTAATTTTCCTACCCGGGCATGTCACTCTGTCGCTCTTAAATTGTTTTTGAGAACTTAGCGCATGTTGCTAAACTGTCTCCATGACTCGGCCAGTCACTTGTGTTTTATCATATTTCCTTTCAGTGTCACTGATCCTAGGAAGAGGGACGAAGAAACCAGGAGAAAGATGCAGCTGTGCTCCCTCCCCCATCGCTTGTAAACCGAGTCCACGTCATGAGCTATAGATTCTTCCAGGAAAGGAAGCAAAGAGAAAGGCGAACCGCGGAATATTAATTTCTGTGTGACAAGAATTTTTCAGGAACAGTGGCAAAACAAGACTTTAAAATCACCAGACGCCTAGCCTGCTTTGGATGATTTGTGAGAATTTAGAGTTGATATGAATAAAAATGGCGTAATGTAACACTGGTTTAGAAAGGAGTATAATGGGAAGGGCATTTGAACAACGACAAGTCAGATTTGGCAATTACAGCTAACAGTGAGTTCTGTTCATCCACTATGGGTGCATTGAAGTATTTCCATGGGACATGCATGGAAGTCATGTATGCCTGTGCCCTGAAAAGTCAATGAAGAATGAACACTTTCATGTTTTGGTAACTAAGAAATTAGCTGGAGGCAATGCTGGAATTCTTTCTTCTAGGAAGAAATGGAAACTGTGAAGGAGAAAAGTAAAAGAAACAACAAAGGAGAAAAGAAGCGGCCTGGCTGGGAGTACAGATGCAGAAAATCCGGGAAACTGAAAGATAGATGTCCAGACTGGAACCTTAACAGAAACACATTGGATACATTTAATCTGCCCAAAGTATCAAGATAGGTTGCAATGTGTCTAGTTTATGTAAGCAGAGCATATAAAAATATGAAGATTTAAGATACTTCAAAAGAAACTTGTCTCTCATGGGTCACAAATAGTGAACTGTGTCTTCTATGAGGCATACATGTTGAAAGTAGGTTGTGATTTTTAAATCTTAAAGATTTGAGGAGAGAGAGAGGGAGGAAGGGAGAGGGGGGGGAGAGAGAGATAGGAGGGAGAGAGAGAGGAGAGAGAGAAAGGCTGGATGTGACAAGTTCTATAGCTTGCTGTGGGAATTTAGTCATTTTAAATTCCTCGGCTATTTTCAGAGACGTCCCCCTCTCCCAGCAGCAGCTTCAGAGTCAAGGGGACCATTTAGAGTTGTATTTGACTTCGATAAATAAAAGGTGTTTGGTTTAATTGTCTTTCTACCTAAGGTCACTTTAAAAGTCAACAAAAAAACTTGATAAAACCTCAAAACTTATGGACAAAATTGATTGGGATCATAGAACCAGTCTAGATTCAAACCATTTCCTGGAGGGAGGGAGGGAAGGAGAGAGAGAGAGAGAGAGAGAGAGAGAGAGAGAGAGAGAGAGCACACTCGGTCAGATGTATCTAGGAACAGAGAAGGTAGCTGATAACAGTGTTTTAAACTTACTTATTCGTTTCTAATGGTGTCCAAAATTTTGTTGGTTCAGTGTTATATGTAACAAAATGAGAATCATGACAGAAACAAAACTGTGCTTAGTTCTTTCATAAACACTAAAGGTTATGAAATTATTGAAACATTGGAGCAGTGGGGTCAAAATTGTGGATGTCTTGCCATATAGCTTTAAAGTTTTCCTTTAAAGAGTTTGAGTAGGATGCAAATACCTGATTTTAGTAGTTTGTAAAACCCAGGCATAAAAAGAGTGCAAATTTAAACTATAGTTGACAAATGGGAAAGCCAGTGAAATAAGGATACTTGAGCAAATGGAAAGGTTCACCAGAAGCCCAGGAAAGGCTTATGAATCATGTCTCCAAATGGTCACCCCGGGCGCTCGACTCGTGATAGCCTCCTTTTTGGCCTCTTTCCAGAGTCAACCAAAAATTGGTAACAGAAATCACACATCAGACTGCTTGAAATCCCGACAGAAACGTGGTTCCTGGCACCCTGAGAACTCTCGGACTGTTCAGTGTTTTCTTCAGGGTTACAGGTGTGTTTAACACCCACCAGTTGATGTTGTAATGGTCTCACTCCGATGAGGTGAAAATGAGCTTTTAAATTTCGTTCTGCGTATTTTTTTTTTAAATCTTTGCCACCTTGATTTTATGTATACGTTGGTTTGTGACCTTCAGTGCTTATGCCCATGGTTCTGAGGTAACATTTTCCTGATTTCCATCATTATGGATCAATAATACATCTTTAGCTCCAACTGTGTCAACATGTAACTAAAAAAAAAAAACTCGTTAAATGTTCTCTATTCCTTGGCTTAATCTTCCAAATTCTAGAATTTAAAAAGTCACACACACTATATGTATATAAATATTTTTATACATCTACTATAAGTATCGATCTGAAAATACATACATACTTTCTGTATATTTGCTGCTATACCCACTCCCTCCACATATCAAAAGAAAACTCAAAGAATTAAAAGATCAGTGTTTATAACGTCACTCCGTGGGAGGATTATGTATTTAACAGTCACAATATACCTTTATGCAAACACAAACCTACATACAGGATAGTGATTAGAACTCGCGCCAACTCGATTAACTTTAAATAAACGCCAGACAAGGAAGTGAAAAATAAAATATACATGATACCCTTTTTATTTTTAGCTCAACTGTTAAAAGGGCAATTATCTACCTGTGAACGTACGCCACACATTGTACTTTGAGGACTCTTCATAGTCAGAAGTGTGAAAGGGTCTGCCTCCAACTGTCATTGCTTCTATGATATTGCTATTAAAACAGAAGCCTGAAAGACCTAATTCCCAGCTCTGTGTGATCAAGGAAAACCTGGGCACGAGTTGGCTGAAGACTGTCTTGCGGAGTCCTCCGTGCTCACCGAGTGGGAGGGTCACAGTGGAGGGACGAATAAGGGCAGAGATGCGTCCCGCTTCCACTCGCTGGGAGCTGGCGCGGGCCACTCCGCGGTGGTGCGGCAGACCTGTCCGGACTCCACCGCGCCTCCCAGGGGCTCCGACACCAACCCAAGGTAAGCTGCTCAGCTCTACCACTGGCCCTTTTGCTTGATGTCGCCCACACTAGCCCGGTCTCTGTCATATGCTGTGTTTCTGGTCATTTGCTTGCATCTGTTTTTTAAGAAAATGTCAAAACGGTAAAGCACATGTGCACATATTTCGGGGGTCAATCTGCCCACCTGCGGTTACGCATTCCCACGCTCCAGCCGAGGGGACCGAGTGCATTTGGCCAGATCAGGCCACTTTGATACGCTACCTATAATGTGGTTCGTGTTTGTGCGTCCAGGTCACGCGGGCTCGCGCGTTCCACTTTAGTTCTCGGTGGGTTTTCTGGGTGGGTTTGGGAAAGCAGAAGTGTGAGCGATGCTGATGCGGGTGGAACGGACACTGAAGGAGAATCTACAGGGGTACGCACAGAGCAAGCTACGAATTCTGCGGGGCTGTGGTCTGGGACTGGGATGCAGTGTTAGGAGAGGTGAAAGCCAGGACGCGCAAGCTCGGACACCCCAGTCCTCCAAGGAGTTACCCACTTCGACCCGCACGGGGGTTTCTGAGCCAGTCTTGGGCTGTCAGGGGCGAGAATCCGGGACTGGTCCCCGAGTACCCGGCCCTGTGCCTTCTACCCGCAGAATGCGCAGCGCATATGGCCGGAGCGCAGCCGCCTTCCCCGTCGTCCTCACTGCCACGGCCGCCGCCGCGGGGACGTCAGGGTCCCAGCGCAAGGGAACGCCGCCTCGCCTCCGCCCGCGGCCCTCGGCTCTGCGGGAATCCGGCCGGCGCCGCAGCCACCGCGACCGGGAGGAGGGAGGCGGCGCGCACGGTCCGGGAGAAGTTTGTTGGCCCGGAACCAAGCGCGCCACCGCGCAAGCCAGCTCCTTTGAAGCAGGCGGGCGATGAAGCTTAACCTTACCCCAGCTAGGTCGTGGAGGGCTCTGGAACCAGTCGAGTGGGTGCGCAGGTTCCCCACTGCATGGGAGGTAGTGGGGAACGCATGGTGGGTCTCGGGGGACAGTAGACTCCGCAGTAGAAAGAATTGGACCCAGATGCTGAAAATGTATACTTTTAATAGAACCATCCAGGAACTGCGACAGCGGGTGATGTGAGACCTAGCTCGAGGCTGGGAAATGGAAGGGTAACAGAAATAAATTGTGCTGCCTCCTCCCACCCCATCGCCAATTCAGAGACTACTTACTTCCAGCCTCTCCTAGGAGAGGAGGTAAAGGCGCTTTACAAGAATTTACATCTGCCCACTCCCCACCGCCTAGAAAGGGAGCTAATGAAAGCAACAGTCCTGCACAAACCAAGGCCTATGGTTGGTTGTTATGTGAGAGAAGGGAAAGAAGTCTGGCTTGATAAGGGTGGCCTTTAGGTTCTCCCGAAAAGGCAAGCAAAGCTGCAGGGCCCTTTCTAAGTAAAGAGCTTGCCAGAAGGCTCCTGCAAAGGGGGCGGCGGGATATTTTCATGGTGCACACTGTAATTTCCCAGTCCCCAGACAAACGGACAGGACAATATCTGAGCGTTCAGGGCACAAAAGAGGAAGTAGCTGCCAGGGCTAGAGAACTCATTCTCCCTCTAGGAGGAAATGTTGGAAGTAGCTGCCAGGTGCTTCCACGTGGTTTTGATCAGAACGGTTTCTGCGAGTGTTCAGAAACCTAAGTGAGGCGTTCTGAGAAAGGACATCTGTGACAATAGAGCAGGGAGAGCGGCTCCATATGGACAGGTAAGAGAAATGCCCAAGGGAAGGGAAGAAAGCCGTGCAATTATGTTTGTATCCGAATCATTGTTCTCCTCAAATCCTTTTCAAACAGATGGGAGTCCATGGTATTCTTCAAAATGGAAACTTTCCATCTATTTTTCTGGTCCTGCAGTTTGATCTCTTTTGCTGAAATCTCAGTTCGTTTTCTTCTGAGGCAGCAGAAATGGGCAGTGGGTTCTGAGTGCGCGATTCTTGAGACAGGAACCACAAGAACGCGTCTTAAGTGGAAATCCAAATGACGAATGAAAAGCAAGCAGGGATACAAAGAAGTGGGGCAGCAGAGACTAATACATAGCCTTGAAGGGATACTGCGGACTGGGAAGTCGAATGAATGAGCTGAGTTCAATAACGCCAGGCCGGCCTTGTCGAGAGCTTACATCCAAAGAGGCAGAGAACAGATAGGCTTTGCAGAGGAGAGCAAGCAGGGAAGACAGAAGGAACGGCATGCATAAAGGCTTAAAGGTGTCGAGCGGGAGCATTCATGTGCCTGGTAAGACAGAAAGGACAGTTGATGTGAAGTCTAGGATGAGGAGAGATGGCAAGAAGACTGGAATGGAGAGGCTGAGGAGCAGGGGTCGCTGGATGCTGTTGTGTAGACCAACAGCAAGACACCCGGGTGAGGAGGCTGCACACTGAATTTAACAGAAAGACAGTAATGGCAGACCAACAGACCAACAAGAAGGCAGTGTGGGCAAGCCGCAGTTGCTGAGATCTGGGGTATCTGCGAAGCTATGGCAGACAGCTGTCATTGCGAGCAGCATGTCAACAAAGCAGATGCACTGTCAAGAAGGGAGACACGCCCTTAGGTGTGTGCATATAGAATTTGGGGGTGGATGTCTTCAGGAAAGTGAGCACTATTTCTGAAATGAAAGGAGTAATTTTATAGAACTTTGAAGTATTTAGGCAAATTGGTCAGGAGTACAAATATTCGCAGTCAAGGAGTGTTTTTTGTGATGCCAAAGACCCACTTCAATACTGTTATTGTTTTTGAATCTCGCGGAATTAAATTCATCAAGCCAACTTTTTGCAATTTTTTATACTTCCCTACAATTCCTTATTTCACATGTATCTCTCTACAAATATGAAGTAGTCCAGGTGTCACTATATTGGCTCATAGTTCTCAATATCTGTTTTGCTTTCATCTACAAATTTGCCAGAGACTGTGTTCCTTTTGCCAGCTGGTCTCATAGCTGCCTACTGATGCTAGGTTTGCAGGGGATGAACGAATAAAATGCAACCATTTATTTTCCTTTAAGAGTGGAGACAATGCAAGCAAGTTATCACCGCATAGTAGAGACTGCTGATGGAGAGGAGAGGAGATCAGTGAGCTCAAAAGGCAGGGGCTAGCGAACTTTGCCTTGGATGGTGCTCACAGACCACACAGAAGATGGCTTTCCAACAGCAAGTTAAAGGCAGAATGAGTAAGAGTACCCAGGTGGTGAGAAGACTGGAAGAATGCTTCTGCGGGAAATAAGAAAATAATAAATAAATAAATAAATAAAGTATAAAAAGCACAAACAGCTTATTATGTACAAAACCCTTTTTTTGATGCCCAGTGCAAATCCTGAAAGCATGGGCAGAAGCATGGTACTTGGGGTCCTGCTTCTAGTTTGATGGGGCAGTTTGGAAAGCAGTAGATAGGCAGAGAGCTGGGGAGGCAAGGCTCCACTGTACCAGAGCCTTAAGTCCCTTGCTTCATAGTACACAATGAAATACCACCGAGGATGGAAAAGAGAGCCCTCATGGGTTTAGAGAAAGAATTCTTAGGCAGGACTTCCCACACTTTGCTGCAATCTGGCACTCCGCTGCTGTGCTAATCACTGGTGTGCAGCTATCCCGGAATACCTACAAAGCCTTGTCAGGAGAAGAGGAGAAGAAGAGATCAATTTTCAGCAGTTGGGAAATGGAAGTTGGGGAAACAAGAGTGGAGGAAAAGAGTCTTGTTGTAGCTGTTGTAACAACTAGAAAAGAGTCTAGTGGAATCTGTTGTAGCTTCCAGGACTAGTGATGGCACCAAAGTGAACAGACTTCTTTTGTGTGTGGAGAAAGTGTGCCTGGTTTCAAAAGACACGCTTTACAGAGATATGACAGGCTTCTCTCCAGGTCTGAAGTGCATAGAGAGTGAAGAAGAAATTGAAGATGATTTTTGAAGTAGTGTGCTCCTACTTTGACAGTATTTGTAACAAAAGCATAAAGGTGAGATTTCTGTGCGGTTTTTAAGAGGTAGAAACCTCGTTCAAGTTGTGGGAGGTTTCTGTAGACTGACTTTAATTTCATTAGTAAAAGAAATGATGAAATTATAAAATAACATCTATTACAAAGCAGTTGTATTTGATTATTAGCTTAGGATTTTTAACTCTGATGACTTTTCTGCTGGCTTGATTTTTCTCTTTATAAAAGTTAGATTCTCAACATTGACAAGAGAACAGATGTGTGACACCTGTTGTTTTGCTTATTTACACAATGAGACTTTCCTGGTGGAGTTGCATACAGACATACAGGAGAATAGTCAAGAGAGTTTGATTTAAAAATTAGGCATCTACCCTACTTACTTTTCTCTCGTGGACCACAGTGACATCAAGCACTTATTTACACAAGTAGGTGTAAATTATGTGTATGTGTATTACCTGACTTTATGTCTATAACATTAAAAAGGTGCCCATATAGACCAGATGGCATCAGATTCCCTGGAACTGGATTTACAGACAGCAGTGAGCTGCCTGATGAGGGTTCTGGGGACCAAACCTGGGTTATCTCCAAAAGCAGCAAGTGCTGTTAACTACTGAGTCATCTCTTAGCCCTAACACCAGACTTTTACTTGACTCATTGCTATATCTCCACCCAATTAATGGTACGTAGTAGGGCTCTCATCATATCAATGAAATTAAGGAATAAAGTTTTCAGTTGATCCTTCCTGTGCTGTTCATATTTTCTGTGTACAAATATAGACTTTATGTTATAAAACATAATATGGAATTTTTCAAAACTTGTCTTTCTTAAAAATCTATTAGATTTTATAAAAGCTTTACAGATTTTGATAAGTGTACTAAGAATAAGAGATAGTATCCAAAACTTACTTGGTCAGCAAGGGGTGGAGGAGAATATTTGGGTTACAAGTAGTGATCAGGACTAGGCATCCAGACATCCACTATGTTGTTGCTGTCATAGCAGTGAGAAATAGGTTTCAGGCAGGGCTACCTGCAGGATTTCAGAGGTTTGTTTTAGAAGGTCCACTGTTGTCTATGTAGGCCTGTCAGT